ACACTGGCTGCATACAGTGATGTAGCACATTCTATGTCATTGTGTTTGGTTGTAGATCCAACAAGGTTTCAAAACCCTTGAACAGGTTTTGTTTCTAATCCTACTGGGTGTCTAGCCACCCTCCTCAGCAGAAAATCCTTGAGGGAACTAATTGCCTGATTTATGGCTGGCTACTCTTGATGAAAATACCTGCTCAAGCACATTTGCATTTTATTAACACTCACAATGTTATTTATATTGTAACTAAGAACAACTATTAAGAGTTTTTGGGAGAGCATGTGCAATCTAGCATGATAAAAAATTGGGACAGATGCAGACTTGAACCTTTCTGCCTGCAAAATAGTGTCAAAATAAAAGGATGTTTTTTGTTTTTTGTTCCCCTCCACCCGCCCCATTGATATCGCTATTATTTTTACCTTTCCAGAAATGCTTGTTTTTTAAAAAGTGATGATTAGAATCGCTATAAAACCTAAACATATAATGAAAGTGAATTGACACATTTATTTTCTGTTCTTGAGAATTTACAGGAAAAATATGAAACTGTTTATTTACAAAAATAATTCATAAAACTAATACAATTAAAACTAATGCAATATTTATCATTTACCAACATAAATATGAAAAAAATTTCATTCATAAATTTATAAACATTTTATTAAATTATTAAAATGTGAACCAGCTACAATAAAATCCTTATTTACCATTTTATAAAGTTTGGATCAGTTGTCAGTTAGCCAATGTTTTGCCAACTATTCCAAAAAACAATCTAATAAATAGTGTTGTTGATTCTTAAGAACAAAGATGTTTAAGTTTTATTACAATTTTGATCTTAACATTTTTTTTTTTTTTTGTCAAAATTTGAACAAAGCCAGTGCCTTCTGACAGGATAACTTTGTGCTCACACAAAAATTGACTGGTTCCAAATAATTTCAGCTAATCCACTTCACTCATTAGGCTTGGCTGCACCTCTCATGGTTTTGAAACACTTTCCTTTGGTGCTTCATTCTGGATCCCTGCCTCAGGCCAATGAAGTTAACAAGTCACTGACTTGACAAATCAACCCTGGTTGGAACTGAACCTGGGTCTCATGGTTGGAAAGCAAACATTCTAACCATTAATGAGAAATATATAGTATGGGTAGCCTTCACCACAGTAATCAAATCATATATGTGAGTAGTCTGACTGTTCAGTTCTTAGAGCTGAGCTGCTTTACCCTCATATGTCAAAAATATGTCCAGTATATGCCTACACAATGTATGCACACACAGATTTCCTTCATCCCATCTCTCTCCCCCACCTCGTCTTTCCCTCCCTCTTATTCTAACATTAGATTGTCTATGGTGTGTGTATGTCACCACGAAATGTTTCTTTATGCATTAGACATCCGTCAACATTCATTTTTTTTTTTTTCTCTTAATTAAACCCCTTCCACCCATCTCTCCTAAAATTCTCTCTGTTAAGGTTTAATCTCCCTCCTCCTCATACTTACTTTCTCTAAATTCTGTCTTTATTTCCGGAGTTTTTTTTTTTTTTGTTTTCTTTTTGAATTTGTAGGTCTGATGAATTGGATCGTATTTACGATTCCAATGGAATAAATTATGACCATGGAATATTAGTGTTTAAGCCTTTTTATCATATATACATGCACGCACCACTGAAGTACGTGTGCAAATATGCCCACGAATAATAAAAATGTAATTTCAAGTGACTCTCAGAGGAGCATACTTAATATGACACCCTGTAAAACAGAACTTGATGCCACAATGGCAAAGCATTTATATTTATCAATCACTCTGACTGACCATGTCTGTCATTCATACATACTGCCATGTGTAAATAACTCATCTCTGAAATTCAGGCACCAATTCTCTAAAGAATGCAGACATAGTGCATGTTTTTTATATGCATAAAACTAATGTGCCTGTATGCAGAAGGTGGTTATAAATCCTCTCCAAATTTCTGTTACAATTGATGGGGACAAAATTGGGAATAGATTCAGTTAAATGGCTTATGAATGTTTGTATTTGTAATTCTCAACTGGAGTTATAGACTTTATTTTACAAGGGTGAGTAAAAATTTTAACTGCACTGTTGTATAAAAATTTTCTATGGAGAAAATGTGGATGATTTTTTGACTTGACCTTGTATATTGGAAAACAAATGTAAAAGCTTTAGTTGAGAAAAGCTAAAGCACTTTGATTTATTAATGAAACTGGTTATGTTCATTTTGAAGATTTAATTAAAAGCTGTAATCTGTTTTCTTGTCACCAACTGGAGAGAAGTGCACATGTTACATGCAATATTTTAATTACATGATAGAGGAAAACAAATGTTGAATAAAAATTTTTTATTTATATAGAAAAAATTTGTATTTTTCATGGATGATTCTTAGTTAATCTTCTTTGTATCAATTTTTAAAGTCGGTCGTACCTTGTATGAAGTCCAGATTTTACATCTGGATTCATGGTATATTTTTGTGCCCAATAAAAATACATTTTTTTTTTATTTATATATATATATATATATATATATATATATATATATACACACACACACACCTTGAATTAATGATCCCGGAACCAACAGATTCTGTATTGAACTTTAAAACTTTTTCGAACATTAAAGGTATATAGTAACTTACACGTGCTTATATACTGTATTTACATTCATTTACAATAATTTTGTACTGTACTGGGTGTTTTTAGGGCACAAAAAAGTGCCTCAAATTAATGAACAAACTGCTTTAACAGATAATCCCCCTATTAGTCCATTTAAACTGAGGTTCCACTAATATGTATGAAATTGTTCATGTATGCTTCTTATATATAGAGATATCTCTCATCTGTGTGTGTGTGTGTGTATATATATATATATATATATATATATATATCTCTATCAATGAAAGAAATTGGACAAAACAATATTGATTTTTTTAACATTTTTTTCTTTTTCTTGTACTATTATTTAGTCTAAAGGACTAATATATTTTTATTCTCCATATTTCAAGATTAAAATCTTTTTAAAGGCTCCCACCCAGTATTTGAGTCTTTCATATTGATTCTTTCTCAAATATAGGAGTAAAGTTTTTATAGTTATTATTGCTAAAAAAAAAAAAAAACTATCGCTATAAGAACCTGACTGAAAATCTGTTACAATCTGAAAATGGCTAAAAGTACTTGAAGAAGCAATGTTGAGAAATACATTTGAAATCTTGAACAATTAATAAAAAAAATTTTGTAAGAAATCAAATTCACAAAACCTTCTAAATTCTTTGAAGAAAAAAATCATCTTGCACAAAAATACTACATTCCAATCAAGTGTAAATATTCCATAATTTTTGATAGGCCCTCTTAAAATATCGGATATACTTCAGATATTTAGTGTGCTTTTATTTTCTTTGATCATTTTGGGTACTTAATGTAAAGTTTTTTGTTAATATTTTTGAAATTACTAAATGTCAAGAATAACTTTTTTTTTTTTTTTTTGTGTGTTGTCTTCATCTATACAACAGAAAGCCTTGGTTAATGTCTATTTTTGAGTTAAAGGAATATGTCTAAAATGCTTTAACTGATTTCATGAAAAGTATTGTTGCAATGTCACTGTATTGTTGCATGTTGTTGCTACTGTTAATGTAGCTGACATGGTTGCACAATATCTAAATGATACCCGATTGCAGCTGTCACAAGGCAGGTAATAAATACCTCTGCTCTTTTTAGAAAGGAAATCTTTTTGTCAATTTCTTGGTTTTTAACATTTTTTTTATGGTTCTGAAAATTGTTGGTAAGTGGTGGGGGTGTCTTCCCCCACTTATCATTCAATTACCTACTATTTGGTGTATGGAGTTTACATGTGTAAGTTACTATTATGGTCTCTTTTATTTATTTATTTTATTATTTTATTACAAATTCCTTGTAAGAACCTTGAATATCATCTGCATTTATGAAATGTGAATAACTCCTTTTTTTTTTTTTTTTTTTTTTTTTCTAAGGGGTGGAATTTTTGTGAAGCAAGCTAAATTAATTTTGATCTATAATTACAAGAGTAGCAAAAATTTAACTTTTGTAAAATTTATTTCTTTGGGTGAATTAAAATTGTGATAAGTAACTTTACATTAATTGGTGTGAATTAACAGAAAAGATCTCAAATAGAATTCTATTTTGAGTTTTTAAAAGTATATCAAATTTATTTTGATAAATAGAAAATAAAAGCTCATTTTTCTTTTAGCAGTAATTAAATCTGCTTCCTAAGATTTTTGGTATTTATATAATCAGCCTAAGTTTTAATATAAACCATTAAATTTCTCTAATCTTATGTCTATGGCGGGTCTCGTGTTTTAATTCTCTTTATTCTGACAAAGCTCTTGTCTTATCTTGTTTGCAAATTCTTGCTTATCCCTTCCAATACTAAGCATGTTTACAAATCTTTAGATGATGGTGGTGGTAGTAGTAGTAATATCAGTAATTACACCTTTTTTATCATATAAAGGTTATGTACAACTATTCACTTTGAAATCTGTATGTGACTGTATATTGGTTTCAACATTTCATTGATTCTAAGTTGTATGATAAACAGTTTCTTAATATCCACTCTTGGATTTTATCATGCAAATCATTGTCTTCATAAACTTTCATTTTTGATGTTAATAATTTGAGGATATATTTTATATGAACCTAAGTTTGAGCTTATCTAACATTAAAAATATTGAATTTGTTTTGATGATCTCTGGTTTGATTTTGCAAGCAAACTGAGCACACATTAAATTTTTATTTAGCAATAAATCCAAATGATTTTTTTTTTTTTTTTTTTTTTTTTTTTTTAAGTATTTGATTCACACAGTATCCTCTCTGTGAATGAATTATTCTATTTTGTAACTTAATCTCGGCTCTGTTATTCTATAAGCTTTTATCAGTTTTTCATTTATTGATTTTTATCTTTTCTGTTTCAACTTGCAATAGTTTCTGTTACTTCCCAAAACTGTTTGCTTGAATATAGTCTTATGGCCATATATTGAAACACCAGTTCCCATGTGCTCACTGGAGTTAAGCAACATTGAACCTGGTAAGTACCTAGATAGGTGACTGCTTGAGAATGCCAGGTGCCATAAGCTTCTATATGTATCATAAACACAACCAATGTTTGTAATGTCCTGCACTTTTCAGTTTAGATTTGACATGCCAGCTTCTTGAAATGCTTTATTGCTTTCATTATATTTCAAGGCTTTGTGACAATTTGTAACGTTGTTTTCTCATAACTCTGTCACATTGCAACATCTTGTTTCTTTCAAGTTCTTGTTTTCCTCTTTATATAATAATAATAATAATGATAATAATAATATTAAAGTCCTGCATACTCTGCTGTGGTTTCCATAGCAAGTCGGTTGTGTAGATGGTGTTTACTAGTTCAATTCCTAACAGGCTTTGAATTCGGTTGTCCTTCTCCTAGACTTGTTGCCAAAACAAGGCTTAAGAGCCTGTCTTTCCAGAGCTGGTGGTTGAGGGTCTATAATCAGAGCTTTCCTAAGTATTTTTGCAAAAGAGAATCTAATAAACTTTACTGGAATGAATACTTGGTTTTCTGGTTTCTAGTTGTGCTTATGATTTCTAACCATTATACCAGCTGCACATCTATACTGAAATTTGCATGTTGTATTTACCATTAAAATATTACTAACATAGGTTGGTTCATTTCACTTTTGTGAAAATGTTATTTAATAAAGTCTAACCTGATGTGTGTCTATTACATTTTTTAAAAATAATCTTTTATATTTCGTGTTTGTAGGAACTTTTTTGTCTTTCTGCAGAAATTTAAAATTTAAGAACATTTTTATCTAAGAATTTTAATATTTTTCTGTGTAATATTATAAGTGACAAATCTTGTCTTGATTTTAAGAAACATGAACTGCAGTGAGGGACTTGATTTTTGCTCGTTACTCAAACCTCTAATGAAACACTTGATTCTGTAATCTTTGTCAAATAGAAAATGTTTGGAGTTTTGCTTTCAAATTTTTAGATTGCTCTGATAAAACATTATTTAATGTAATTTTTAAGATTTTGAAGTGCCAATAATAGAAAGTTTTAAAATCACAATGCAAGTAACATTTTAAACTTATTTTAAAAAGTAATAACCTTAGTGTAAAAATTGACTAATTTGTGTGCGCGCGCACACACACACACACACACACACACACACACACACACACACACACACACACACACACACACACAATCTCAATTCATTAACTGATTAATTCAATTTTCAAATTGCACATTAGAACACATTAACAGGCTGATGATTTAGTCCCACTTCCTGACATTCTTTTTCTCCGGTTTCAGGTTGGATGATGATTGACTTCCTGTCTTAACTGCTTGTCATTGAGAAGGCGAACAAGTTTCATAGATTCACAACTATGCATTACTTATGTAGCCAGTTTGGATCAATTGTCAAATATGTTGACAGTTAATTTATGAATAGGTTTTGGGGGAAGGGGTTGGGTCTACTGTTTAATCAGGTTTTGATTATTTACTGCTTGCAAGTGAAGTTCTGTTTCAGTATAAATAACAAATAGGTTTGAGACTAAGTACTTCTTATTGATGTACATTTATATACACACACACACACACACACACACATTTGGCCCCCATACAACATTTTCCTTTTTCCAAAAAAATATCAATCATAAGGAAAATTTCAGACCAAGGATGAGATTAAAAATATGATGCAGCTGATGTCAAATTTTGCATATTATTTTAAAAAGTTGATGTTGCAATAACTGTGAGGTCCCAGGTGGGTACTTTAAAGGGGACTAAAATGTCAGTTTTCAGTATGCTCTTTTCTCGTTAATATGAAAAGGATAATTGTTTAGGTAGGTGTGATTGTGAGAGAAAAATGTTTCTGCTCAGAATTTTTTTCTCTTTCTGACATATTTACTTAACCTTGAGGCCCATGCTACCATAATATTAATCATACAAAATGTTTTTTATTTTACTTGAAGAATCAATACACTTAATAAAACAAATCAAACGCTTCATATTCTAGGGATGCAATACATAACCTTTTTGTTGAAAGTACATTTTAATAATTTCTTTTTAAAATCATTACTTATCTACACAACTTGCCACATCATAAAATATAGTTATTTATAATCTTCAAACACTTTCACTTTTGATGCCATATTTTTTTTTTTTTTTTTTTTTTTTTTTTTAATATAGACAAATGAGCAACTTCATTGTTATTGTTTTTCATCTTATTTTTATTTACTGATCATATTTTTCTGTTGCTTTATTTGATATTGTGAACAATATTAGACTTGTAATTAAATCTGTTCCAAGTACCCCCCCCCACCTTCCTTTGCTTGTACATGTTGACTACTGATCAGTATTTTTTTTTTTTTCTTCTAATTAATACAAAATGTAATAAAATCATTGTGGGTGTAGAACATTTTATGTAGCCTTGTGTACATATTTGTATTATTTTTCTTTTGTCTTTTAATAAAACTATTGTTATAGCAAAAAGCACTGATTTTTACTGGGTAAGCCATGGTGAACTTTAAACTTTATAAGATGATGCCACACAGACTTCACTTATTAGTGAAGGCTTCTGCTCTTAATTCTTAACACTATATGGAAATGTGTGTACTGACATAGGACTGGATTTTTTTTTTTTTTCCTTAATCTAACTTGAAATGTAAAAATGGCAATTCTGGAATGTTACTTTTAGTCTATCACTTGTATGAGGAATGCATCTCATCAGTGGAGTTTGTTTCTATTAAGGACATTGGCTGATAGGATAGTGCTTAGTCTAATCTGTATATCTGGATGGTAATGAGAAATTGTTTCATACAATTCTTATTTTGATGATCCTGTTAACTTTTTGTTCGTATACAAAGTGGGTTGGTCAGGCAGGGGGGTTAATTTGTTATCCAGAAAATATATTTGGATTTGTCATAAAACATGACATTTGATACTTTTTGTTTAAGTGCTCATTAGCCTTATTCCTGACAAAATTCTAATCTTTGATTTAATACTTTGTAATCTTTTCTGATTCATTAATTTATCAATTAGTTTACAGCAAAAAAATACTTTATAAAGCATTGTGAATCGGGTGTAAATCCTTACTACAAGGGAAAAACAGATGTGAAACCATCAAGATTGTAAATTTACAAGTCTTATTTTCTCTCTCTCGCTCTCTACTAAAAATTAACAAAACAAGTATTATGTAACGGGTATTTAAAGTGTGCTTTATTTTCTCAAAACCTAAGGATTGTTCTAATTATTTTGCCATGTTGGTTCTAAATGTCTTATAAAATTTCTTATACTTTGTTCAAAAAAAAAAAACAAAAAACACATACAAACTATCCAATACAATTTTAAATTTTGCAATTGATCATTGTATTTTACAATTACCTTGTATTAAAAAGAAACTGTTCAATCAAGTTTCACTTATTTGGCAGTCTTGGTGACACACAACAATGTTTCCACAATATATCCCACAAGTTAGATTAACTTTCAAAAATGATCTCATGGAGTGGGTCAAATGAGTTTTAATAGCTTGACCTAATAAAGATGTGTCAATTTAAAATGTTCATAGGTTTTTATTTAAATATACTTTTTTTTTTTTTTTTTTTTTTTTTTAAATCACTGAAGGCTATTAACTTCAGAGATAACCTTTGATAGTTTTTGCCTAAGAGTATATATCTCGCATAGCTTTCTCTTTTGTTTCCACTATAGTTAATGTTCAACATTTATAAAAGTTAGCTTGAGAAATTGTTTCAATCTTTAATGATTTGTGTGTTCAAAAATGAAGTTCGTTGATTGTTGAAAATGCCATATAAAATAATTTTATTTTATACCTTTTTGATATTTAACTTATTTGGTAATGTCTCAAAAGTCATAATACAATTGACTTGTGTGTGTGTGTGTATATATGCTCTTGATTTTCCACACCTTGCAAATCTGCCCCCACTCCCCCAAAAAACAATTTTCACTGACACCCCTTCATTAAAACACAAAAATTCAGTACACTTAATATTTTAGCATGTGCACACATATGTAGCCCCTCCCTCTCCCTCCCTCTTTCCTCTTTCCTCCCTCCCTCTTTCCTCCCTCCCTCTTTCCTCCCCTCCCTCTTTCCTCCCTCCCTCTTTCCTCCCTCCCTCTTTCCTCCCTCCCTCTTTCCTCCCTCCCTTTCCTCCCTCCCCTTTCCCCTCTTTCCTCCCCCCTCTTTCCTCCCCCCTCTTTCTTTCCTCTTTCTTTCCTCTTTCTTTCCTCTTTCCCTCTTTCCTCCCTCTTTCTTTCCTCTTTCTTCCCTCCCCTCTTTCCTCCCCTTTTCCCTCTTTCCTCCTCCTCTTTCCTCTTTCTTTCCTCTTTTCTTTCCTCTTTCTCCCTCTTTCTTTCCTCCTCCCCTCTTTCTTTCCCTCCCCCCTCTTTCTTCCCTTTCTCCCCTCTTTCTTCCCCTCCCTTTTCTTTCCTCTTTCTTTCCTCTTTCTTCCCTCTTTCTTCCCTCTTTCTTTCCTCTTTCTTTCCCTTCTTTCTTTCCTCCCTCTTTCCTCTCCCTCCCCTCTTTCTTTCCTCCCCTTTCCTCTTTCTTTCCTCTTTCTTTCCCTCTTTCCTCCCTCCCTCTTTCCTCCCTCCCTCTTTCTTTCCTCTTTCTTTCCTCTTTCTTTCCTCTTTCTTTCCTCTTTCTTTCCTCTTTCTTTCCTCTTTCTTTCCTCTTTCTTTCCTCTTTCTTTCCCTTCTACTGCTGGTCAGTTGTGATAATTGGTTTCTGGTGAATAGCCTGTCCTAGCTTCTGACTTGTTTGTCATCTATTTCAACTTTCTATACCATGTGGCACAACTGATGGGTGTGGGCTGGCCTTTACAGATCTTCATTGTTTTCATAGAACAAGCAAGTATCTGTTCCCCTAAGGACTTTAATAGAACCACACACTCTCTTTTGAGATAAATTGAACTCTTAATTTTACCTTAGTTGTTTTAAAGCATTGATAGTACGTTCTTCCTCACTTCAAGTCCTTGGGTATTTTTTCTTTTAATATAAAGATAATTAAAAGTATCAAACAATAACTTAATTGAAAAAAAACAAATTTCTGTACTTGTCTGTTTCAA